CTCACAAGGTAAAGGAGAGAGATGCAATGGTTTATTAAAACAACTAAAATCTGCTACTCAGCCAGAAAGCTACCTCATTTAAAACATGGGCACTTTCAGAGTTCCAGCTTCCATCACTCAGGTAAGGAAGAGTTGGAAAGCTTACATAACCACAACAAAACCACCTACAGCTTCTCCTGAGGTCACTCATCTATGGTACTCTTGAGATACACATAAACACTTGAGTGTCTGCATCTTTCACAAGAGGTGTGAGTAAACAGGGGAACCTGCATAGCCGTGAGAAGAGAGTGTTGGAAACATACCCTAAAGGGAAGTTACCTCCATGTGTCTGGGAGAGGGGGTGTTCCAGCGCAGGGGTGGGGGCTGAATCTTTTTCAAATCAGGTATACAAAATGGCATAGAAAGTGGTGAGTGTTGATCTATTGTGTATATGGCATGGATCCTACATGTATAGTTCAGTGACTGCCAGTTAATGAAGTGTTGTTAATAAGTGTTATTAATATATGATTGCCAGTTAATTATGTGTCACTAATAAATCCATAAGACACTTCAATCCTGATTTTAAGAAACATAAACTGAGCAGTTTTTCCCTTGCATCAAGTCATTCATGCTCTAGACTCTAAACTCAAAGGAAAATGAAACTTAAATGTATCCAAGCAGAATAATTAATGAAGAAGTCGGTTTTGTAGGTTGTCAGTTTTTTAATTTTCACTGGTAGTGCAGATAAGAATGCTTCATACTGAGCAAACCTACATACGAAGAGAATGAAATTAAACATAATTTCGGGAAGAAGTTTCTTCTATCCTTAGATCTACAGTCCTGGACAGGAAAACCTATTGCTCAGAACAAATTGGGAGAAATTTACCAATTGAAGAGAGCTCACTAATTAAGATTTTTGAAGGACCTTTGTAGCCTCTGTACTTTTATGAGCTACCAGCTCAAACATTCTACTTCTTTACACTAACATTTTGCACATCAGATAATGGCTGTCATTTGTGAAGGGGAAAAAAACCCCAAAACAGAAGAACTCTTAGCCTTGTATGATTCCATTTGTTCCTTTCCATACATGCAGAATAGTATTTCATCAGAGAATAAAATAACAAAGGTTAACATCTGAAAAGTGGTTTTCTGGTCAAACTCTTAATCTCCATCCTAGAAAGGGCATCTAATATATGTGTACTTACAGCATTTTTAAAAGATAACTGAAAACTTGTTCTCTAAGGAGTGGGGGGTGGAAGAAAACTCCATCTGTCTTGACTTTTAAAAGCAATTTTTTCCCCCAGCAGAAATAATTTCTCTATTTTTGCAACATCTCCAGGATGTTTAAAAAAAAGGGAGAAAATAGAGATAAATAGAGAATTTTCTTTCTAAAAATCCCTCCTGTTCTATTACAATTAATTTGTCATTTTATTCTACCTTGGGCACACTAAATAGGCACACACCTTGGTTTTCCAAGTAGAAAGACAAAAAAATTTTCAAAAGACTGTTGGCAAGTTCTTCTGAAATTGATTTTTTTTTTTTTAAGGGCCTGTGCTAAAAAGAGTAAGAATTTTTCAAGATTTTTGTTAAGCCATTGCTAAATTCAGAAGAATCTCTTCAAAGCTGGTGTTTACAGACATGTGACAGGACACAAAAAGGAGCTCCTTATCTGGATCAGCTCTATTTCATACTTCAGATTTAATAATAAGCTAGCATGGGATCAGCATGGGGGAAGCTTTGGTCTGCTCCTACCACCAATTTTGGTAAGTAACTATCACCCTTCACTCTCCACATCTTAGAGTGACAAGAGATCCGCAAAGACTAATCAAGCAATATGGCTCACAACAAAGCAATGAAGAGATTCTCCTTCCTCAGCTTTGGAGTCTGTGATTCAGCAGCATGTCTGTTTGCAAGACACTCCCTTGTCAGAGCTTATTTTTAAAATACCCTCAAGTTTGCTGAAATCTGTATCACACAGGAAGTTATTATTTCCAAAGGAAACACATCTAGAAGAAACGTCAAAATTGACAGCGGGATTGATTGTGCCTGGGTGAATACAGGACATCCAACAGCATAATGTGCAGCCAGTTAAAAGGGAAATTACTTCTTCCAGTCTTCTAAAAACTAAAAAACTTCTCAATTGCAAGGGTGATTGTATGTGCAAAAAGTTAGTCATCAAAATAGAAAAAGAATCTTTAAACCTATTTCTATCTTCTCCCTAACACCAGCAAGAAAAAAACCACTAAAAAAAAAAACCTGAAACATGCTATCAGATCTAACTGTTACCTTTTACTCGTGTTGAATGAACAAATTTTTATTGTATAGAAGAAAAAAAATCTGGCATAGCACAGTCAAATGGAAAAAGGTATTATGCTCTTGATAGCCTCTGATAGCTTATTTCTGAAGCAGCTGAACATATTTTCTGAAGTTCATGGCGAGTCTTCCAGAAAAGTTATTCCACAATTTTTTTGCAGCGCTCATATCACAGAAGACAAAATCTAACTTGCCAAATTACACTTCTACAGCAAACGTCTTATTTCAGAAAGTTCTTATTTTCTATTCATCACATAATATTGGCTATAGATAGATGGGCTACACATATCTAATGGCAACCTCACAAGGAAGCTTTTAACACCATCTCCCATTACATCCTCATAGGCAAACTAGGAAACAAGCCAGGCTAGGAAATTGGACAGCGAGATGGACCGAAAACTGCTCAAGTGCTAGGCTCACGCGGTTGTGACCAGCGGCATAAAGTCCACCTGCAGGTCAGTCATTAAGGATCAAACCGCGGGCCTCGCACTGGGGCCGATACTGTTTGACATCATCCTTAATGATGCGGACAATGGGGCAGTGTCCCCTCAGCAAGTCTGCGCTTAACACAGCACTGGGAGGAGTGGCTGATGGAGCAGATGGGTCTGCTGCCATTGAGAGGGACCTCAGCAGGCTGGAGAAATGGACTGACAAGAGACTCATGAAGTTCAGCAAAGGGAGACATCAAATCTGGCACTTGGACGAATAAATCCATGCCCTGGGTCATGGTAGGGGCTGACCATCCAGAAATCACCTTGGAAAAGATGGACATGGGGATCTTGGTGGACACAACGATGTCCGTCAGCCGGCCACTTGCCCGTTGTGCAAAGGCCAACAGCACCTGAGACTGCATTAGGCTGAGCATCACTAGCTGTATGAGGGTGATGCTCCGTTCCCTCTACTAAGTAGTGGTGAGATCACACCTGGACCCTGGGTCCAGTCCTGTGCTCCCCGGCATAAGACAGACATGCATATACTGGAGAAGGTTCACTGAAGTGCCACAAAGATGATGATGGGAATGAAGCATCTGTCATACGAACATGTATCTGAATGAGCTGGGTCTGTTTACTGTCAAGAGCAGGAAACTCAGCACAGATCATAACAATGCGTACAAGTACCTGATGAGGGGAAGTAAAGAAGACTTAGCCAGACTCTGACCTTCTCAGTCACTCAATAGTGAACAGTGAAAACATGAGGAGTAATGTATATGAACTGAAATACAGGAAGTTCTGTTTAAACATCAGAAAAAGCCTTTTTACTGGCTAGGGTGGTCAAGCACTGGGACAGCCTGCCCGGAGAGTCTGCAAAGTCTTGACCCTTTCCAGTTTTTAAAATCAGACTGGACATGGTCCAGACCAACCTGATCTGGTTGATGTGCCGTTAGATGAGGGGAGGTTGCACTGAATGATCTCCAGAGGCACCTTCCAGCCTCAAATCTCCTGTTACTTGGTGGTTCTGTGAAATTCTCAACCAACTGTACCAAGAATTCATCATCATTGAAAATGAATACTTCATGAAAACATTCAAACCATACTTTAATAGTCCCTTTTCCATAACTAAGATTTTTTTTGCCAACCTACCCACCATTACATGTTTGTCATCTGCTCTTGCTTGGTACTTGAGTATTGAGAGGGTCTTGCCTTCAGCTTCCTGCCAAACCCGCCGTAAGGGCTGCTCTCAGAAGGCCATAATCAGAGCTGACTGCCTGTTCCTTCCAACCCTTACCACTATATGAATCTATGATTCCATTCAAGACATGCAAAAGCATCCAACCAAGAAACACTGCACCCCCTGAGCAAGAAAACTGGGTAGGAAGGGATGAATCATGATGATCTTATCCCCATCACCAATTCCCTGTCCTCACACATACCCTTGAGAGCAAAGTCAAGCCAATCCTCAGTCAGTACTAACACAGTAGGAAGTACCCTAAGCTTGACCACAGTTTTAACATCCTCAACCATATCTCAAAAGTAAACCCAATGCAGGTCTCACCATTTTTTTTTTTTTGGGGGGCAACAAATCAGAAAGCCTCTCCTCCTAAATCAAAACCAACCTGATTCCCAACTTAACAAATGTCATCTTAAGACACAGTCTGCTGTACAATGTTTCCAATGTGGACAGAACCTCTCCAGCTTCGATTCCAAGAAAAGTTTTTGTGGAATTGCAACATTATTTGCAATGTAGAGAACTATGTTATGGAAATCAGTAGGGCTCCTCAGAAAAGAAGATACCATTTGATGTAACAAAAACGGCAATCAGTTCTGATTCTCTTAAGAGACATTACCTTGTCACAGAACTTCCCTTGAGCCTTAAACTGTATGTAGACCCATTGTGATGTTACCAAAGGTTTGGTAAGCCTCAAGAATCATGGACAAGAAGTCATTTACCTTTTATTGGTATTAATCAATTTATTATCACCAGAACAGTACTTAGGAGGCCCACTAACAGACCAAAATTGCCCCTGGTATAGGTATTTGATATCCTAAACACTTCTGGAAATCTACATAAAGGATAAGCTATCAAGGTATGCATCTTTCCCCAGTTTTGAAAACAAAACATGAATAATACAGTTAGAAATTAAACCCTTCTAAGAACTCAGTAAATTCTTCCACTCTGAGATTCAGTTGGCATTTTATTCACAATGGACAATATTTCTTTTAAAACTATTCCCCCTCCAACTCCTGTGGCAGGAATAATATTCAGCTTACCTGAAAATAGAAGAAAGCTTGGCCAAACCAGTAGTGCATGATAGTAATCTGTGCTGCATCAAATTTCAAAGGTCTCCAGATATATTTTGTTGTCATTGTCTGAATCAGCAGACAAAACACCAAAACTGGTAAATTGTGAGGTCTAAATAGCAGGGCTGCTAGTAGAACCAATCCACTATACACTTCCCATAATCCTGTACTCTTCACAGTGGAGTCTGCAGAAATAACCTGTGACTTCAGTAAATCTTTAGTGCCACTGAAGACTATGCCAAGAACAAAGACATAAACAAAACGAGCTTCAGTAATCCCCCTAAAGAGG